CCGCGACCGCTTCGTCTGGAAGTGTTGGAAGAAGCCGGCAGGCTGGCCGGCGAGGCGCACTCGTATTCATCGAAGGAGTCGGAGGGTTCGATGGCGTAGGGCTCATAGTCCTCCTTGGGTTTCTCTATCGTCTCAATGTAGTCCAACTCGGCCTGGTACTCGTCCCCAAAACCATAGCCCTCCTGATTGTTTTTGGGGGGAAGCAGGGTGTGGGAGAGGGGAAGGGGGGAAGATAGTGCATTAGATTTGGAAACCGTTACATCAATTAACAAAAAGTCAACAAAACAGGGTCCACAGGTCAGATACTGGTGAAATATCAACCAAAGAAAAATTAAGACGAAGCATATCTCCCTTGGTTGCCGATTTTAAAAAGCCAAAGGCGCTGTAAGCAACCAAAGGCACATCGGAAGCCGCAGCAAGTTGGAGGTGCTGACCTAATAGTGCTGCCAATCCAGAGATATCTTACAGAAAAGAGGGGAGGGTAAGTTAAAGGTATCATTGAAGTGTGGGAATCCACGTGCCTAGCGCGTCTGCGTTGACTCGTGCTGTCTTCGTTCGTCATGTCTTGCACGCTACACAATCTTGGCCTTTGTCACGCTCGCTGTTGAGTCGCCGTGCCTACGCTCGGAGATATTCGATACTCCCGCGTCATTTTATTGGCTGCAGATGAAAGAGCATTCGCCCCGCAGTTAAGGCGGTCGACTCGCTTCCCGAGGCGCACGTTACTTCGAACCAATCGATGCGCGTCGTGCCACCTAATTGGCTAAGGACACCTTCCGCACCCAGGGCTTCGCAGCAGCAGAAACTTTTTCACTGACGCGAATGGCTTTCCTACGCGGCGCTTGCAGCAGCTATTGTAGGGCGACTTTAGCTCGGTAAAGCTGTCCCTCTTAACTTCGTCTTGCCTGACTCTTGATGTGGGGATCCTTCTGTTGTCTATACAGCAACTAGCTTTCGATAGAAGCATGCCTAAACCTCAGAGTTATGCTTTAAGGGACTAAATACTTATTTTTATTTGCTATCGCTAAATGCTAAAGAAGTATTTTCTACATCATGTGTGTGCAGTGCAGATTTTTGGGGTTATTTGATACTGTGGTGATACTTATAAGATATCCTTATCTGAAAAGACATAACCACCAATCTTGTGACCTATTTTTAGAAATAAGTTGAAATAAATTTAACAGGTGTGCACAAGGCCTTCAAAACACAATGCCAGAGTGAAACTACACAAGTAGTTATGATATGGTTTGCCACTAAACATTAAAAATGATCGGAAGGGGGCAGGGATAACACTTACGTCAATGGCCATGTTGTCGTCGTAGATAGCTCCGGCGTAGGTGCAAATAAAGGAGCCCTTTGGAATGGCGTTTAACGCGCGGATGCCCCAACCCCTGAGAAAGGAAGGCAATCATAAAAGATGTGTAAGCATAGGGGATGCAGCATGGCATACGCACTGCACATGACTGTGATCTTGCTTGAGTTAACCGGCGGTGATGACGCCCCCCTCCCCCCGATTATGCCTATCGATATGAGGTGGTAGCCCTGCTAAGTTTGGTACACGCTTCTTCAACGACGCTCTGCCATGTATCAGGTACTTCTCAGAAGCGATTGGATTCTCGGGAAGGCCCTATGTGAAGATGACGGCATTGAGCTTGCACCCGGACGCAGGTTGACTGATCTCGACTACACTGATGATATCGCTTTAGTAGCCTCAAGGGCAAAAGTAGCTTATGTAGCCCCACTCATATACTCCTATTCCCAGCATTTTGTCCCGCAAAAACGGTGGTCATAGAGTTTGGTGGGGTGGAGAAATAGGATAGGCAGAGAAGAAATTTTTTAGAAGTAAGTGTAAAGTGAAAAAATATAGTCGAAGTAGCTTCCCGTGACCGCTGGGAGCAGGTTGTTCCGAATGTAAATTGAAGGTCTGCGCGGCGCTTCGTGCCACGGACTATACTAATCTAACTCCAGAACGGTAAGTTGAAGTAGATGACCTCATAACCACCATTTCTATTTTTCGGGAAATTCAAGAAACCTGCAATT